CCTTTCTCCCCTATCTTCCCCTTACCCTCCTGGTATCTCTACTCTCATTATTGGTCCTGAGGGGTTTATCAGTCCTGGATTCCCTGTGTTTCCAGTTCTTATCTGCACCAGTGTACATCCTCTGGCCTAGCCAGATTTGTAAGGTAGAATTGGGATCATGATAGGGGGAGGAAGCATTAAAGAACTAGAGGAAAGCTGTATGTTTCATTGGTGTTATACTGTACCCTGACTGCCTCATCTCCTCCCTGTGACCCTTCTGAAAGGGGATGTCCATTTGCCTACAGATGAGCTTTGGGTCTCTACTCTGCACTCCCCCTCATTCACAATGGCATGATTCTTGTTCTTTGATGCCTGATACCTGATCCTATGGACACCTCATGATTACACAGGCTGTTGTGCTTCTTCCAGGTGGGCTTTGTTGATTCTCAGCTAGATGTCCCCTTGTTTATCTTGAAGCTTTGAAGACCCCAGATGCTATGTCTTTTGATAGCCCAGCACCATTAGCTTTCTTCACCACATTTGCTTATGCACCAGCTTTGTCTTCATGTCGGGAAGGTGAGCATCATAGAATGCCAGTTTAATAAAACAAAGGGTTCTTGCATTGATGGAGTACTTGAGTGGAGGCCCAATGTCCATTTGCTATCTTAATACTAAACCTATAAATATATGCACATAGATCTATTTCCCCATTGTCATATAAATATATATTACATTTGTATATGCCTGTATTTAGACCTCTATAAATGCCCTTTGCATCCACGTTCTTTCCTCTATTTCCTTTTACTTTCCTCTTGTCCACTATTATGTTCAGCCTTCATTTGGGTTTCAGTAATTCCTCTGGGTATATTCCCCTTCATCTAGACCTACCAAGGTGCCTACACCCTCCTTGCCATGGATTTTGGATCACTTGTTGTTCCCTTGTCCCTGGGGTTAACACCCACTTCCTTTCCCTGCCCCCCCCATCTCCCATGTCCCCCCAATGGTCAGTTTCATTGTTTTCTCCTCCAGTTTGTTTATCCTGCCTATCTTATCTAGATAGACTTGCAGAGATAATAATATGCACAAAAAACAAGACAGAACAAAACAAAGCAACAAAAACAAAACAATAAAAACCAATGACCAAGAAAAAAAAAAAAGCCTGTTCAAGGTCTGTTTGTTGACCTTGAGGAGTGCTTTCTGGTCAAGTCTGATGGGGTGCCATGTCCTGGCCCACAGTCTGTTTTTGTTATTTCTTGGGGTCTTCGTTGCTCTATTTCCCTTGCTATTCTGTTGCATACCTTTAGTGTTTCACCTCAGTGTGGTGGGGTCAGATTGAGTGCAATTCGCACACTGTGTCTCCAGTGTTGTCCCCATAGCTCTATGGGTCAGTGAAGGATGTCATGTCTCATAGTGGGGGTGACCCTATGGTCCTCTCTGTGCTTTGGCTGCTCTGAGTGGGAATATCGTCCTCAGATGTTGGTGGGCCAGGATGTGTTCCACTCTCTCTTCCTCTCCCTTCATTTGCTCCTGTGTGCTCTGCTGGGACATGTCCCTCTCCCTGAGCTGTAGCTGTTCTCTGAAGTGAATTCTTCTGTGGGTGTGGGTGTGGGTGGGGTCTGTCCATGTAGTTGGGATTGGGGCCGGCCCCTCAGACCTTTCTATTGGTTCTCCACTTCGTGCCAGTATGTTGCATTCACATCCTGGAGCACCAGTTGAACCGGTCTTTCTTTCCCTGTGGAGATACATAAACAATACCCTCCCATTGGGTGGGTTAGTGCCCTGTTCCCCCACTTTTCTTTTTCTTCTCCCCCTTCCAAACCTCCTTTTTATTTGGCTACTATATGTATCCCTGGATTTGGTATGACCCCTGCCATACTAACTGGTCTTCAGCCCAGGAATGTTTGTATATAGTAGCTTTTCCCCTATGGCCCCTTTGCATTTTTTAGCTTACCTCAGCAGACTCATGTTGTACTTGTCCTTTTGTGCTTGGATTTCTTTGCTTAGCATAATTTCCTTCAGTTCTTCACATGTGGTGATGTGCTTCATGCATTAATCACTGCTTCTTAGGGATGTGTAGTACTCCATTGTATGTACATACCAGTGTTTTTAATCCATTCATCTGTTGACGGAAATTTGGGTTGTTTCTAACTCCTTGCAATGGTGAACTGTACCATGATGAACATTGGAGCACAGATGTCTGCCCGTGGTTTGTTTCTTGCCTCTTCTGCGTATATGCCCAGTAGGGCGATTGTTGGGTCATATAGTAGCTCAATTTCCATCTGTTTTAGATATCGCCAAATCAATTTCCATAGTGGCTGTACATACCTACAGGTCCACCAGCAGTGGATGAGAGTTCCCATCTCATCACAGCCCCTCCAACACTTGCTTTCTGATTTTTTTTGAATTGGGCTGTCTTTGAGGGTGTTAGGTGGTATCTCATTGTTTTAATTTGAATTTCTCTTATGGCTAATGATTGGGAACACAATCAAGTTTACAATAGTCTCTGAAAGGTCATTGGAGCTCCTCAGCTATGGTCATAGGGGATTTACCTGTGGTTTAATCTACATAGTACCCTGCAGATGGATTTTGGGGTCCCACTATCATCTGTAGCCTTCTACAAATTGGGTATTCACGGTTATAAAAGTCAATATCACCAGACCTCTCCTCCTCAGGGAAAAACTACCATTTCTCTCGAGTGGTTTTCCCCCACAGCAATGGGAGCCAGGCACACAGGAAAGTGAGACAAGACAGTATGGCAGACGAGAGAGTAAGGGAAGCAGAAATTTAATAAGCAAAGTATGTTTCAGTCATGAAGCAAGTCACCTTATGATTTGAGGAGGCTGACAAGGTCTAAGGATATGATATTGAACTTTAGAAGGGTTAGGTTATGGGATCCCATTGGCTCACCTCAGTCTCTATCCTGCTTTCCAATTGGCCCTTATTCTTGGATCCTCAATCGTCCTCAATGCATTGCAGCATACTATTCAGTTCATTATCATGTAGGGTAGTGTTAGTCAATAGATTATCTGGAAATGATCACTGGAATGGATAATGTGAGGCAATTTGGGAGGGACCATCCCAACCTCGAGTTGTCCTTGATTCGACTACTGTTACTAGGACTCATTTTCAATAGTTTAGTATTAACCATGGAGAGCAAGAATGATAATCCAATGCAGGCACCCCTTTCCCGGTAGCTCAGCTCTCTAACTTAAAATTCAATAAAATAGATACACAATAAAATAGAGGAAATTTTATTTATGGACTTTGGCCACATTGAAAATTAAAAGCATGGATGGCCTCTTAAAGGCATCACAAACAGGATTACAATAGATTAAAGCAATTTAAAAACGAGTGATTTTGTAAGAAGGAAAGTCACTCAATCTTCTGTTCTGTGGCTCCGGTGCAGAGCCGAAAGGCTTCTGTACAACTGAGTGGTTCAGTGGTCCACCAGCTCCTGGTAACTGTGGAGACACAACATTCACAAAAGTGGACATTTGGGATCTATGGGACCCATGGTTCAGAAGTTGTTTAAATAAGGCGGATGACTCTCTAAGCTCCCACTCATGGGATTGGAACCACCTAACATATACAAGGTTAGTTTTACATTTGAATTTTCTGCACTTTGCAGATCTGATTTACATTCCAGGCAGTGGGATGATTCAGACTTTATGTGATGAAAAAGCTGATGGTGCCCTGCTATTAAAAGATATAGCATCTGGGGTCTTAAAGGCTTGAAGATAAACAAGCAGCCATCTAGCTCAGAAGCAACAACACTCACATGGAAGAAGCACACCAGCCTGTCTGACCACAAGTGTTGAAGGGATCAGGTATCAGGCATCAAAGAACAAAAAAATCATATTGTAAATGAGGAGGAGTGCAGAGTAGAGACCCAAAGCCAATCTGTAGGTAACAGGACATCCCCTTACAGAAGGGTCCCCGGGAGGAGATTAGTCAGTCAGCATGCAGTGTATCAACGATGAAACATACAACTTTCCTCTAGTTCTTAAATGCTTCCTCCCCCACCCTATCATGATCCCAATTCTACCTGAAAAGCTTGCTAGATCAGGGGATGTACACTGGTACAGATAGAAACTGGAAACACTGGGAATCCAGGACAGATGATCCCTTCAGGACCAGTGGTGAGAGTGGCGATACCAGAAGGGTGGAGGGAGGGTGGGGTGGAAAGAGGGAAGTGATTATAATGATCTACATATAACACGGACAACAGCAACGTGGGTGAAGGGAGATGTCGGACAGAGTAAGATATGACAAAATAATAGTAAGTTATAAATTATCAAGGGTTCATGAAGGAGGAGGGAGTGGGGAGGGAGGGGGGAAAATGAGGAGCTGATACCCAGGGCTAAAGTGGAGAGCAAATGTTTTGAGAATGAGGATGGCAACAAATGTACGAATGTGCTTGATACAATGGAGGGATGGATGGATTGTGATGATAGTTGTATGAGCCCCCAATAAAATGTTTTAAAAAAGAGTCAATTTGGAAAAAAAAAAGATTGTAAGCAATATGGACACTGCTGCTTAAAAACCATAGAAGATGACCAGAGAGTTTTGAAAACATTTTAAATTTTGTAGTGAAAGCAGCAGGAAAACGCAAATGCTCTGCCCTACAGGCTGCCCTGGATTGGAGTTGACCCGAAGGCCTCAGCAACAAGTCCTACTGAATGGACTGTCATTCAGACGTTGCTGAGGATTGAAACTTTACCGGGTTTTATTTGCCCCAAAGATTTCTGGTCCTAAAATCCCCCCGTGGATCCATTAAATAGTGGTCCCCATTTATCTACTTACCTTGTTATCTTTGTAGTGGGGAGTGCCACATAACTTACAGAATCTGTTTTCTATCCCAAACCAGTATCGACTAGGAAAGATATGGGTCCTTAAAAAACAAAACAAAACAGATGTAGAAAGCAGTCTGAGGAATAAGATCTTTCCAGGCTTTGCTCTGCAAACGAGAGCATTTTCTTTCTATCTTTTTGGATGACGCATTTCCTTGTCATTCCACACCCTTAGCTCCACCTCACTTTGTTTCTTAAATCCGTGGGGTAATACGAGGGACAAAGAAACTTCTCACTGTTAAATTAGGGGTGGTGGGGAGGGTGGGGGAAGTATTTCAAGATTGCACAGTGGGTTGTTACAGCAATTTCTTTGTGGGAATACTTAGAGGTATAAAATGGGTTATTCCTATAGTTTAAAAAAATTTACTCCAAGGGGTCCCAGGAAAAAAAAAGATTTTTACTTTTCTTTCCAGGTTAGTGGTCAGTGGGAGCTCAGACAAGAAGTTAATCAGCAGAGTCTGAGAGAGACCACTGAGATAAAAGAGTGGTTCTCAGGGCCTCCTGCTTGGAGTCAAATCCAGGACTGCCTAGCTTGTTGAAACTGCAAAATCATTTCATTTGTGTCACTTCCATGGCTCTAGTCTTGGCCCCTGGATCAAGACTCCTCTAGAAATGAAATTACACGTCCCGAGATGTGATAAAGTGGCTATCTAAAACATAAAACAGTCATCATTTTCAATGTCTCTGGATAACAAATGATCTATTTCGACAAGAAAACTATTAGTCTAATCACAGTCGCCAGAGGGTCCACTTCGACTCATGGAGAATCTGTGCGTAGATTCTGTGCTCCACAGGATTTCCAATGGCTGATTTCGTGAATAAGATCCCTAGGCCTCTTGTTTGAGGTGTGTCTGGGTAGACTCAAACTTCAACCCTTTTTGTTATCAGCTGTGTGAGTCAATTCATGGTATTTGTAGGAGGAGCCAAATGATATGTAGGACTGACCTGGAAACTGTACACTCCAAAGCAATTTCAGCATAATTAAATCGATTCAATGATATATAGATCAGGTGGGAACTGAGGATCAAACCATTAGGGAAAACCTAGTGGGAAAAAAAAGGTTTTGAAATAGATTTTCTTGTTATACTGTATTTTATTCTGTTCGAGTAAAACCACTATATTTCCCCTGAAGCGTCTTACGTTCTAACAAAGAAACATTCGATTTAGAAAATAGACACAATCGCTCCACATACAATGTGGAACAAGTTGGCCAATGATGGTGAGCTGACTGAAGATTTTACATTCCTCTCTTCAAATAAAAATTCGAGACTTTGGACAGTGTAACTTATGACAAAACAATAATTTATGAATTATGAAGGGTTCATGAGGGAGGGGGAGAGGGGAGGGAGGGGGAA